CTCCATCATCGCCCATTCTTCTCCCGTTCCTGTGGTCGACCAACAAGGGTGAATGACGACGATGACGACGACGATTCATTCTGGGACGCCAGCACAGAGTCTGATGAAGGAACAATGTCCTCAGACGATGCTAACAGTGATCATGACCAGGTTGATGACCAGGTCGATGACCACAATTATGGCGGAGGTGGATTCCAAGATGACTACGATGACAGTGGAGCTGTGACCCAAGACAACTTCATGCAAGACGACGACAATGATGCCATCAGTGGTCTATTGTCCATATCAACCTCTGCCCATGCTCAGGCATCGTCGCCGCCTGCTCAATCATCGACTGCACTCTCGTCGCCTGTTCGATCATCGCCAGCACTCTCGCCGCCTGCTCAATCGCTGCCTGCTCAATCATCGCCAGCACTCAMGCCGCCTGCTCGATCATCTGCTGCACTCTCGTCGCCTGCTCAAACATCGCCARCACTCTCATCGTCTGTTCAATCATTGAATGCTCGACCACTACCTTCTCCAGTCGGTCCATTCAATCGAGTTGTTGCTCCTGCACTCGCTCATGCTCATCCCTTACCAGTGTCCATGAGTCTACAACAGGCAGTTGGTAGCATTAACATTGCTACCCACCTATTGGATGATGTCGACAAACGATTGCCAGAGGAGCATGACGAGTGTATGCAACAGGTGCAGGACGACCAAGATCTGAATGTTCTGAATCTGTTCCAAGCTGGCATGAAGGTGCTCGCTCAGACGAACCATGAAGGAGACAAGGATACATGGTGGGAGGGCGTCATCGTCTATGATCACTATCCCAACTACGTCGTCAAGTACAACCATAGGAAGTATCGTACGTCTGAAGAAACTGAACTCGTTCGAGTTGAGAGACTGCGGCTAATCAACAAGATACAGCTGACACAAGACGATGACGTTTGCTTAGGAATGGATGTGCTGGTGTTCTATGACTCCAAGTACTACACTGGTCGCATTGTTGACGAGAGTTGTGGTCACATATCTACTGCCTCTGGAAGAGTAACAAAGAAGAGAAGGATACTGAAGAAGAGTATTACCATATATATATCTGTAATCAATGTTCATCACGATGCCAAATGGAACACACTGTTCAGACTTTGATCTCATCAACAACACACTCAATACAAAATAATTCAAATAAATGCAAGAATAATCTTATCGCTCATACAACTGGTCATTGCGGCCCGCACACTCAGTTGCCAAACCTGCCGCACAAAAATGAATTCGACTCTAAGTCGATGAATCTCCCACAGGAGTTGTATGCGTGGACACCTCCACGATTAATTTGTTGTGCGATCGAGAGGTTGGCATTGGCATGTGACACTTCCAACGTGACTCTATAGAATGGCTGCAAGACCTCAAAGAGGGTGCGCGCAAGTTCCCATTCATCCTTGCCAAGAGCGTACTCAGCGTATTCCTTTTGAGTGAAGACCCTCTCGAGGGTTGCGCGAATCGCCAATGCTCTTTCAAGGACCAAGTACTGACTGTTCCATCGTGTTACAACTATCATCTTGGGTAGCTTGATCCTGTCTTTGTTTCCAAAAGGAATATAGTCACTGCATTAATCAAGTTAGCAATGCTGTGTAAGTGAGTGAATGATCCACGCATGAACTTACAACTTGTAGCTCTCTCTTCTCTGGGGTGAACCTCTGATTGCAACAGCGATGCCATGCAGCTTGGAAAGAACAGTGCATGCCTCCAAACCTTTGATGAACTCCTGGACAACAAGGTTGACGATGTGGGCGGTGCATCCAATGTGGGACTCCAAGCCTTTGTAGGGAAGCTTGCGGGCATCCAATATCTCTTTCAAGGACTTGGAGAAGGTGAAGTTGTTACTGGCATTGTCACTAATGGTAGCAAGGCATCTGTCAGTGATGCAGTACCTCTGTAGTGTCATTGCAATGAAGAATGCATCTGCAATGTTGAGGCCTTGGGTGAATGTAAAGTTAGTAACATATTCTACCTCTGCTCATTGTATCTCTCCAGTGGAGAGTGCACTTGTTGCCCGATGATGATTGCAACAGGAGTGTGTTGTTGTTGCGGTTCGCTGTGCTTTGTTTCTGTTATTGTGTTACATACCAGAGTGTTTGCCATCAGAGGTTGTAATATCAATCTTGGTCATCGTAAGGAGCACATTCCTGGGCTTGAATGTAGCATCAATCCAATGACACGTGATACCAATGAATCCAAGACAATTACGAGATGTCCAGCCATCAAGACAGAACGAGAGCAATGAATTGTTCGATTTGAAGTGATTGATCAACTTGCTAACCGCTGCTCCAAACATGCTGGTGAGTCGGACTCTGACCGTGTCTGGCGATGGCAACGTTGCCAAAGGAGTATACAAGGCAGTATACATTTTGAAGCTGGGTTTCTCGACGAATGAGAAGGCTAGGTTGCAAGCAATGATCATAGTCATCAGGTAATGTCTATCAAAGAGTTCATTATTATTAAATTGTTATGTTAGTTGGTTTCAGTGTCGACAATTAAGTAGGTAATGCTAGCAATCGATTGATACATACTCATAGTCTGTTTGATTGAATGTTGCTATTGCATTCTGGGCATTCGATAACTTCTGCTTCTTCTTTTCATTCTTCTCACAAATGACTCTGTCAACATTGTCCCAATCAATAAGACCTTTAGTCTCACTTCGGTGATCTGAACAGGATGTTAGACAATGAATCTTGGTAACTTTCAAACAGTTCGTAACATACGTATATCTAAGTGTCTCCACCCGTTGCTGGTTGATCTGCCAGACTTGTTAGAGTCGTACTCCTCGCTATGAGGGCAGTAGTGGCATTTAGCGAGTGTAGTCTTCCCAATGATGAGTCGTGGAATACACAATTATTCATTGTAATATAGATATTATCTGACCTATACTACCAAGATAAATAACTGAACTGTCACTTCAGTGAATTGTAATAGATACACCTGAATATTAACCTAATTAATGAATAGTTCAGTTACAGATCAAGGTTAATAACTATTCACCTGAACTTACGGAGCATTGCCTGCAGTGTCTTTTTTGTCAAGATACCGGAACATGGCAGGGTCAGCGTCCTCAATATCATCGTCAGACAGGTCGTCCGAATCATCGTCTGACAGGTCATCGCAATCGCTGTCTTAATCATTATATTTAGACACTGCTGCTTTGATATCCTGTTCACGCTCCTTTAGAATGCGATCAGTGATTGAATTTATCTTGTTGGTTAACTCTCCCTGGCTATTGATAAACAATTCCGTGCTGTCTTCCATTATATCCAGTAGTCTATATTTTAAACTCTCCTTCGCCTTGCCATATCCCAATGGCGAACGATCCAACTGGCTTGGTCATGTTCTTGACTCTGGCGTTGGGACAGTATCCCTCATATCGCAGGTCGCCACACACCTTGCCCAACTTGGGGTAATCGATTGATTTCTTGCCTGTCTTCTGTGTCCATGGTTTGGTCGAGACGAATCCATCGGTGTGCACGCGCTTGATGCAGTCAATGTCGTCCTTTATTATCGTTCCGATCATCTTGCGACCACGGGAGATGATGAATGGCATGATGCGAGCGAATGGCGTGTCGAACATGTCGGTGTGGCAAGCTGATTTGATCATCGCGCTACCATTGGCTGTTGGAGTAATGCGATCGATTGAGTAGTCCTCGTCGACGTTGATTTCGACGTGCTTGATCGTTCTCTGTCCATCGCTGGTTTCTATCACCTCTGCATCGCACTCCATGTTTGTGTAATGCTTGGTCTTGTTGCGCTTGGAGAGAGCGCCCCATAGACGTTGGTAGAGACACTTGCAGAGCTCTTCTAATCTAGATTTGGGCTCACACGCATCTATCCAGCCGAGAACCTGATCGATGTACTTGCCAAACAGGTCGGAGCCAAACTTCCTGCAGCTGCTGTCGTAGATGAGCGCATTGGCCTTCTTGCCGGTCTTCAGGTTGAATGTCAGTCCTAGCTCCTTGGCAAAGATGAGGTCGTAGTGAGTGTAGTAGTTGTTCTTGTTGATCTTGAAGGCACCATGAGTGCCATTGATGATGGCACGGTAGATACCAAATGGGATGGTCTTCATTGCGCTGAGCTCCTCGTCGGTCAGATGCTGGAAGTCGCCACACTTGATTGGTATCATGAAGCCGCTGCTCCTCAAGATGGATGCATACATCCCAGCGACGTCATACTTGTAGAGAGCTCCTATATGTTGAATGGCCATCATCAATGGTCCATAGGCTGACTTCTTTATCCACTCGCCCTCCATCTGACCGATGGGCTCTGGTTTGACAGTCTTGTTGTACGAGAGGAACAGCTTGATCGCAGCCTTGTTGATGTTCTGCCCTGTAGTGTACATGTCGATGACTCCGTTAGTGTGTTCCTTGAGAGCGTCGGCGTCGGCCTTGAACGAGTCCAATGTCTCCTCCAGGGTCATGCCCGAGAGGATACGGATGTACTCGCACTTGTCTTGGTACTTGCGCCTTTTCTTGTCGATAAACTGTTGCAATGTGATGGTGCTGTACTCGCTGTCATCATAGAGCTGCACCTGCTCGCCTTTGAGATACTTGAATACGATTGGCTTGATGTAGACGTCCTTCTCGTTATATCGCGTGTATCTGATGCCCTTGCCGACATAGGTGCCTTCCTTGTCTCGTTTGTAATGACCATTGGTTAGTATTAGGTTGACCTCTCTGGTTGCTCTCGAGGCAGAGGCATAGCAATGATCACCTTTAACGTTGATTCTGATGTTGAGTCTGTCCTCGAGTTCTGGGATCCGCTTGATCGAGACCTTCTGATCGACATTGAGGTCGAGGAACTTCTTGAGGCGTGATGGTTTGCCGAAGTGTTCTGTGACCTGCTCTGGGTAGGCGTCGTGGAGGCAGTAATAGAGGCAGTTATTCCATTTACCGTCGCAGCCGCCTGCCTTGCCCTTTGCTTGATGTACGTAGATGTAGAACGATTTAAATGTGTCAGGCTCTGGGATTGGTGCGCCATCGAACTCGTGAGGATCAAACATGATGATCGGCTCGCCTACCTTAGTGAACTTGCCCGATCGATACTGATGGTTGCCGTAGTCGAGCACGACCTCTATCCTTGCGTTGGCGCCGTATCGTTGGAGCGTGTTGCTGTCTCGCTGCGCGATTCATTCGATGTCTGCTCTTGTGTAGTTGCCTGTGAGCTTGATCTCAGTCACGCCCGTCTTCTTCAGTCTGCCGCCAATGTCTCTTGTTGATCTACTCATTCTATATATTAACATTGAGATGTTAGTTTATATCACTTTGAACCTATTTGTTGGCCATCAACTGCTTGTGGATGTAGCCTTGCTTGTGTCGATTGAGATTGGTGCGACCGACCTCGAAGCCGCACTCGCATCTTACCTTTTGTTTGATGTAGGCCTTGTGACGCTCTCTGAACTCCGAGTTCTCGTCCCAATAGTACTCTTTGAATAATGACATGTTATATCTGTTAGTTAGAGATAAATTGTTTAATTTGAATTTATTTATTTATTTGTTTATGAGTTTCCTAAATGGGACGAACAGATCCCACATCACCACCGCATAACTTTGATGCTCACTCAATTCATTATTCACAGCACAACAACATCAACAAATACTACAACAACAAACAACAACAACAATAACTATCATCTCTTACTCACTGGTATCGCACGACATCCCAATCACCAAAGATGTCACTTACTGATCAAACAAATGCCTCGGGTATTGCTGACATCTTGAAGCTTGCCCCCAATGCCCCTCGACGTCAGACACTCATTGGCTCCAACATTGATGGTCTTTATCTACTTGCCAATGGCCTTGCTGTGGAGAACATCACTCAAGACTATCCTACTATTGATGCTCCATTCGCCAGAATATTGTACGGTCTCCGTCCAGCACAGCAAGTTGCCCCAGCTCGTAAGTACAAACAACATCGGCGCAATGTCTTCATTCAATACTAACATACACACTCAAGCCGGTGCTGCAGGAGGAGGTGGTGGCCAAGCGCGTAAGTAGAAGTGAGAGCGAGTGATGTTCGAAGGACTAACAATTGTTGTGAATATTCCAAGAACCAATCTTTCAACCCCACCTAATACAATTCAGTACCAATGGGTCTATCGGTGTTGTCGAGAGAAACAAGAAACATTTCTGGGTGGACAGACTCGATCAGTTCTCCCACTGCCTGGATCTCATCAAGAATGGGCAGTTGGTGTTGCTTGGAGCTCCACGGTCATCAGGCAAGACCACAATAATCAACGATATATCCTTTGAGCTTCAAAGAGCCTCTATCCTCCCAATATAGCAAGTATCACATATATTCGTCCCTTCACACATCATTAACACCTACTTACAGTATCGATCTGGAGAGAGCTTATGATTGGTCGAATCAAACAACATACTGGCAACGTTTGGTACAGGACATCTACAGATCGATTGGATCGGCTGGTATCGAAACCTCCACAGCAACGCATGATCTACAAGAAGTGTTTAGCTTGGACAACCCCATCTGGAAGAATCAGCAGTACAGACAGGCAGTGTTGATCTTTGATGAATTTGATCGCATTTACGCATCGAAATTCCAAGACACAAAGGACACAATCCTCGCCCAGCTGAGAGCCTGGAAGAGCTCACGTACAACGGCAAGGGGAAGCGCCTTACTCGTATGTTCTTCTGTAGGTCTCGGAGTACTTTAATACTAATATTCCCTTCAGAGCATTGTCGCAGTCGGAACATTTCGATCCACTATACAGAACGTCACACAGCAAGAATTGTCCCCATTCAACGTAAGCGAGGTCATTCCATACCACAATTTCACCCTAGAGCAAGTCAAGAAGCTCTATCAGATGTTCACCAATTGCAGAGGTGTCACAGTTGAGGAATCAATTGTGGAGAACATTTTCGAGATCACGAATGGACATGCAGGACTCGTCAACATGTGTGGAAGAGCACTGGATGAAGTGCTTCTGAGGGATGGTGATTCCGTCACTCTTGCTCAATGGCAGCGATTTTGCATCTATGGACTTCCACAGCGCATGCATTCCTACAAAACAGTGGACAGGATGGCAAAGTCTCTCTTGGTCGACGATGAGACACATGGCAAGCACCGCGAAGCACTTCGAAGGTTCATAATATCTTACCCAGAGACACGACTTGCCGAAGGAGAGAGCACCAACTTTCTTCTCTCTGAAGGATTCCTCGTTCCAGTATACAAGTATGTTAATCGTTATGTACCAATAGAGCTTTAACTAACACACTAACACTTACAGAGAGGACCCCAACAACTTTGAACAATGTGCTCTTCAGTCCTCTCTTTTGAGGAGCTATTGCCTGAAGATCCTCCATGGTCACTCTCATCCTAAAGAGAGATTTCCACTCACTGGCAACCTCATTGACATTCCCAAACTCCTTGGCAATGATGTTCTTCACTTGTTCTCTGCTGTTGGACGAGACATCTCAACAAAGATGTTCAAAGGAGCAGGAAAGGATCTGAACGGTGTTGTGATTCCTCACGACTCCCCAGTCCCATCAGAATCCTTTTATCACTTTGAATTCTTCTCAGTCATCAATGCATGGATTCGCTCAGACTATCAAGCTAGGGAGACACTGCGCATCGCATCCTCAGTCTCTTCAGGGGCGAACAAGAAGGCTGATATGGTAATCAAATCAAAGGATCGATCATATGTCTTGGAGTTCGTGGCAAACACCAATCAAAAGGACTTTGAGGAGCACTGCAAGAGGACTTCGACATACCAATCGTTCTTGGCTGCCAACCAAGCATGGGTCATTCACTTCACCCTGTCCGCTCACGACTACACTTTACCAACTGGGGAATCAAAGGTTGGTGTCATCACTGTCAGACACTCACCTTCGATGGACAACTGGATAATGGAGGTGACGAGAGATGCTCAAGAGTTGGTCCTGGACAATGATACACAAGCCGAGGACCAACCTATGGAGCAATGAGGAACCAATAAACACTCACCCCACCAACCACACTCGGTGAACACGGAAGTACGTGCTGAGTACTCTCCTGCTAACTCTCTCGGTCGTGCAAACTGTTACAGCGCTAACAGGTATCGAAAGTAGAATTGTAGTAGAATTACAAAAATAACCTCCTCAATTTAGAATTAATTATTTTTATTATTTTGAACTTCTAAACTCTATTTCTACTACAATTCTACATTGATTAGACAGATACTCTTTTTCCAACGTGCTCACTGTTAAGGCGGTGACAGGTACTGAAAGTAGAATTGTAGTAGAATTAGGAAAATAACCTCCTCAATTTAGGATTAATTATTATTATTATTTTGAACTTTAAAACTCTATTTCTACTACAATTCTACATTGTTGATACAGATACCTTTTTTAATTACTTTGAAGTACATAAAACTATAAAGAGAAGAATCTTGAAGTATGAAATGAAGCAGCGCCAGCTGCGGAATGTTGCGAAGCCAGCGGCCATGAGTTATCCACACACGTTTGGTAGTAATCCAACGCCATAGGATCCACGGAGAATGTTGGTGAAGTGTAATTCTCCAATCGCACTGAACGCCTTGATCATGCTGTCTTGGAAATGGGGGTAGAGCAACTCGAACTCATGCCAGTGCCACGGCTTCGTGAGGGAAGGGAAGAAAAGGAGATTGTCTGGAATGACGATGTTGGGCAAGTTCAAGAGGAGCTTCTTCATGTTGTAGAAGGACATATACATTGTGAAGTAGTCTTTCCTGGATGTTCTCTCAAGATAAAGAATGCCCATCCTTCTGATATTCTCAATGGTGACTGGAACAGTGTCATTGTGGAGAATGGTGCTGAGCTGAATTGGAGCCTTTGTGATCGCAAAGATGCAGATGCTGTGCTTGGTCTCGTCCGACAAAGGATGTTCATAGTGATTGAGTCGTAGCACACTGCTGAATAGGCATGTGGACTCTGAATGCATGCACGGAGCAAGTATGTGATGTCTCGGGGAATGTATCCAGTATCTCTGAGAGCTATTTCAAAGTTGTGGCTATCCTCAGCAATGATTGCTGTGATGGCGTCACAACCAGGCAACGTTGAGTGATATTGAATGAATGAGTTACATGACTCTCTGTTCAGTGGTGAGAGATGGATGATTTCATTGGTATACTCTGTCGTGAGGAAGGTGATGTCTCTATAGATGTTCCAGTGGAACATGTAGGTGCCAATCACCATCAGCATTTCTTGAAAGAGGCTTTGCCATTGTCGTAGGACTCTCCTGTTGCTTGACAGTAATCATCGATATAATGTTGATACTCGTCAATGTGGATGATGACACACTTGACCGAAAGGTGAGAGACAGAGTCGTAATTGGGGATGATGGTGTTCAAAACGGTGGAGAGGTGAAAGTCTAGACATGGCCACCATTAATGAAGTCGTCCAGCTTGTCGTACACCATTTTGCCAAACAATTTGTGTTGATAGATGCCGCTTGCCAAGGCAACGCGAGTACCAATTCGCAGAGATGGTACATGCTTTCCTGGCCAGTCGAGGTCGGTTTGGAATGCAGATACTTTCTTGAGGTCGATGTGTAGGTAGATTGGTGATAGCATTGCCTGTATGAACTTCTGATCATCGGATTGCTCGAGGTAGTTGAGAGGAATGGTAGAGACCTCCAGTGCTGCTCTTGTTTTACCAATTCCAGAGCCACCCGTAATAAGAACAAAGTGATGATGATGTAACTCGGGCGAACGTTGAGTCGCTTGTTCATAGTTGCTGTATGCAATGCCAGCAATCATGTTGAGAAAGTCAACTCGATCAACAAAAGGGTAATTGACGACAACAGACGACTTGGGCTTGTTTGTAAAGGGTCCACACTCATAGGGTATGTTGGGCCCTGTATGTTGTTAGGTTAGTATTGAACGAAGACATTGCGCCGATGTAGTTTGTAATCGCTTACGAGCTTGGGCAACAGGTTTGACAGGTGAGGTGAGCTTCGTAATATCGCCAACTGCCAGCGTGTTGTCTGTAAACACTGAAAGGATTGATTCATCGGTATTGACACGTTGTTGATCCATCGTTTGGGACAGTGGGACGGCCACATTGTCCGGCACTCCAGCTTTCTTCTCCATGATATAGGTATAAGGTGACGAAGAGATAATAGTTCTAATTGTTGTTGTTGTTGTTGTTGTTGTTTTGAGAATTTAATTTAATTTGTGAGTTGGTGAAGATCACCCCCTTGTTTGGAAGCAAGTTGTGGGGATTTAATTAGTAGTAATTTAATTTAATTTAATTAGTAATTGGTATTAATTAAGCCACGAACTCTTACGAGAAAGTCGACTCGAAGGTGGCTCCAAGGAGCGGAGACCCGGCTGGTTGAGTTCAAAGAAGAGAGAAGTGCCAGTGCAACGCGCTGGTTATCGTGCTGTCGAGCATCCCAGACTGTTTATTGTATGTCATGATTGTCCCATGCTCAGATGCTGCCCTTGTCGTCCCTCATAGCGCAGGTCGCCGCACTCCTTGCCCAACTTGCCAGTCTTGACAGTCCAGGGCTTTGTCGAGACGAATCCATCAGTGTGCACGCGCTTGATGCAGTCAATGTCGTCCTTTATTATCGTTCCAATCATCTGGTGACCACAAGAGATGATGAATGGCATGATGCGTGCGAATGGAGTGTAGAATGTGTCGAGGTTGTTGATCGACTTGCCGTCGCTGATGAGGTTGAATGTAAGACCTAGCTCCTGCGCAAAGGTGAGGTCGTAGTGAGTTTTATAGTTGTGCTCGCTGGGTCTGAATGCTCTGTGCTCACCTTTGATCACTTGAAGTGTCGGTCCTACCTTGAACCATATCCGACTAGATGTGTTGGTAAGCAAACCTATATGAATGAATGAATGAACAATTGGTATACAGTATCGAGCTAACAATATATCTATTATGACACGTGGGCCAAATGATTCAATATTGTTGTTGGATGAGAAGGTTCCAGAAGTTGACAAGGTGCAGGCTCAATCATTTTGTTGATCGATGTTGTAGTTGTTGAAGTATGATCAAACTGCCTATGTACATTGATTAACTTGTTGCACTTAGGAGGAAAATAAATGATGTTATTGTTGTTGTTATTATTGTCATCGTCGTCTTAAGTGAGTTTGGATGTGAACTCTGAATTGTGGGTCATTGTTCCCATCGGAGTCATTAGAATAATATTGATTGTATGTTGTCAATATGGGCATGACTCGGTGGGATATAATGATGTTGTATCAAATAATGTCTTTATCTTTGTTAAACGTATATATATAATTGACTCACTGCTCTTAGAAGAACAGACTCGGTATTTCAAAGACGAAAAAGTGTGGGTGATCAAAATTATTCTCAACTGGGTGAAGAAAAAGATTACAGTTGTAAACAATACCGAGTTGTAATAATCATCAGTTAAATTTATCTAAAATTTGTAAATTAACAATTAAATTTATTCACCACTTTCCCTTCCTCTAGGATTGGATATTGTATAAATATCGGAACTAATTAACAATATGAAATCAATCAAATAATTAGAATATATATATATTATTAGTATTATTAATATTTAACATGAAAATAACTAAAAATATTTTATATTGTTATATTTTTGGATGTTTATTCTTTATCTCCTTCATTTCGTTTATAAATGGAGAGGAAACTATTGATACCTATGCTCATCATACCAACTTTATTAGTAAAACAAATAAATTAAATAATGTAGCACACAAATATCTACATCAAGGTAGTGGCATCCTGGATAATGCCAAATATGGAAATATTCAGTGGCTGCAACATGTTCAATCAAGCTCCAATACTCACAATTATGAACCCTCTAATTCTCATTATGATAATCCTGAACCCTCGAGTTCTAATACCAAAACTGATTTCGGTTCTGACCCTGATTCCAGTTCATCCATCTACCAGTCATTCCGATTCCTATCATACCAACACCCTCGGTCTTAACCCTACTTTTGGCGGGGATACAGAATACCTTGGAATACAACAACATTTCCCAACTTATAACAATGATAATACTCGACAAGGACTCAAAGTTGGTACAAGAATTCTACCAAAACAATTTACCAAATGATAATTCTGCTATCAAATTGATTATAATGAATAAATTTAAAGTAATAAAGTTTAAATAGGATATATAAATCTATTCCTCCATTATAAATTAATAACTATCAAGAACTATTATAACTCAATAAAGTAAATTTGAATAATATTATTAATATAAGGACATTTAAAGTATATAGTTATGGTAGTTGTGGTTGTTGTCCTCTACTGCATGAGTACGCCTGAATTTGACAGACTCGATCACTTTGACAAGTACGACAATTAGTGAAGTACCGACCATTAGACCAAGAACCATCAAAGTGACCTTCCACCAGGTCCATGGCTCATTGACACCATGTCTCTTTGGATGAACTGAGGCTGGCTTGACACCTGGTATCTGTAGTTTGTAAAGTGATCCATCCGATGAGACAAACAAAGCACGTTGTGACTTGATGTCAAAGTAGCCACTTGTTGCAAAACCATTGATCGTTGCATTGTTGTCCAGGTCAATGTTGATCACTTGGTCCTTGACACATACATGGTAGATTATGTTACCGAATGTATAGAAAGCATTATGTTCAAGGTTACCTATTGCAATTGATGGATGTTGACTTCTGAAAGGCAATTGATATGTGGCTGCAGTTGACAAGTTACCACTATGTAACAATACCATTACAACTGGATCCTTATCCAAATCAAATGGTACGACTGCTGCCAATATACCATCAGCATCAATCATATTGACCATACATCTAGGGTACAATCCAATTGTCATTGGTACACTACATTGATATGGATAGAAGGTAAGGTTATTAAAATGAACGAATATGTTTTGTTTGAGCTTTAAAACATACTCTGCTTCAACTGTCAAAGGATAGAGACTAAGCTTGATGAATGATGGGCTGTTGAGTCCAAGACATCCAATGTATAGATATACATCATTGAATGTTGCTGTCTCTGCAGATCGGCAAGATGTCTTATCCAATTGAATCTAAAGATTTGTTTGAATGTTCTGGATTAGTGAATGATTGATTGATTGAGTGGAATAATTCCAACTTACATGATTGACAATAACCATTTCCTTGGATTCGAATTGGATGACACTCTTTGCCAACACTAAGGTGACGATATCACGGATGTTGTCAACGTAGATTGAGTTGTCATTAAAGTTGATGTTTGAATCATATATCTTGATGTTCCTGATGAATTGTAAACCGGCACTGACTGGTCTATATTGATTGACCACAACATCATTCTTGTCATTTAGACATAGATAGAAGTATCCACCTTTAGAATCAAAGTATCCATATCCTTTGCTGTATGTGCTTGGGTCCAAGTTCAGGGTGTACTCAATCTCCAAGTTCACAATCGACACTACAAAGAATACACCATCTGATCTTGATGTCACTACTGAATGATTCGAATTGCCCCTGTACACATATGAGTATACAAATGGGTTTAGTGCTGATTCCTTGTTGCCAATGAACAACTCAGATTCTATGTTTGATTGATTGTTTGGTTATTGAGTTAGTGAGTGACCGAGATTGATATATTGAAAGAATGAATAAACGTACCAATAGTTATTGGATGATGAGATGATCCATAAACTGTCTGTAATGCTAATAATACTCCCAACAACTTCAACCACAACATCTTGTTATTAATATTGTTCAACTTTATCTTATCTTATTTCCAAGTTTATATTATTATTTAGATTGAGATGGACAAAGATGATGATGAATGTATATGACCAACTAAACTTATTATTGTTATTGAAGTATATAAGCCAGTAAGTGTATATACGTTGTATGATTGCAATCTAACATTATTGCCCAGACACTTTATTTACATTACAACTAAGGTGATCACACCTAAGTGAGTGGCGCCACACATCAAAGTAATATTGTAACAACCTGCTACTTATACACTCACATTATAACATACAATAAGAATGTGATAACAACATACATACATTAGGTGTGCATGTATTTGTGTGATTGATCACACAGATATACCATCACCAGGTGTGTGTTTGTGTGTGAACACATCAATCAGGTGACTTGACCACCCATCACTCAGCCGATTGTGCACAGGAACACCTTGAACACACATGACATACTACTTACTACTACCAACTATTAAGGAAGGGACCATGGTTGATTGAAGATGCTTGTCCATTGGCAAGCCAGTGTATTTGTTTGATTGATTAATAGATTGATAGATTGATTGATTGGAGGATCGAATCACTTGTCGGTGGCTAGGGAAATGAAACCAGACCATGTCATGTGTTGCTTGTTGATGTTCTTGAACTCGGGTCCAACCAAAATATGATCGGCCTGCTGTTCCTCCTCGACAATCTCTCCTTTGCCCAGGGACTTGATCAAGCTTAGTATACTCTGCTTGCTCACCTTGTTTGATGCCACGAACGAGTCTGTGACCAAGAACTTCTTGTTTAAGAATGGAGTAGCATCATACTTCTTTCCATACCTAATGTAGATGATTGATTATTAGTACATGCAATGGCACTGTCATCGCTTCAAAGGACAACTTACTCAAGTTCGCTAACTATATGACCTTCCTTCACACTATCGAGTATCCACTGCTTGGATAATATCCACTTGTGTGTGAGTGCGGCAGAGACTGTCTTCATGGTGTGCTTGGTAGATGCAGTCACGACATGTGTGATGGCTCGATCAAACTCGTGAGTCTTTCTAACGTTGCATCCTAGTATCTCTGCCTTTTGGATAAGTTCAGCCTTCTCACTCTCATCCTTAAAGTTGGTGAACAACACAAATGGCTTGATATTGGTAGTGGCGCTGGCACTGGTACTGGCACTAGCACTGGCATTGGCGCTGGCACTGGAACTGGCGCTGGTGCCACCGTTAACACCAGTACGTTGCTTCTTGTTAGCGTCGGCCAATGATGACGATGATGAAGAGGGGGAAGATGTCACTGTTGGTTCCACTACATCCAACGGTCTCTTCTTTGTTGCCAGTGATGACGATGAAGTTGTTGGAGGTGCACCATTGGACAAACTTGGCAATGCGGGCACCTTCAGCTTCAACCTTGGTAGGGCAGGCTTTGGCAAAGTCAACGCTTGCTGAGGTGGTTGTTGTTGTACTGCTTGTGGTTGAATAGGGAGTTGTGGTTGAGCCGGTGGTTGAAACTGTGGCAGTAGCAGTAGTTGGACAGGGCGTTGTGGTAGAGCTGGTGTTTGGGGCTGGGCCACTGCAGCCTTTTCTCGAGTCATCTTATCGATCTCTGCCTTTAGGTACTCAATCTCTTTCCTGGCAGTCCTCAGCTCGACATCCTTGGTAGGCCCACCAGAGCTTTCCTTAACAATCTTGAGCTGCTCCAGCGCAGACATGAGCCTGCTCTTCTCTTGTGTAAGATTGTCGCACCTCATGGTCAAGTCGTCGTTGGCAATGCACAGTTGCTCGTACATTGGTTTGTACTCGGTGGTTTCGCGCATATAATCCATTAGCTTGGAGTTGCTGTCTAACGCTGCCTGCTTTAGCTCGTCTTGTTGCCTCTTGTACACGTTGGATTGCTGTGAACTCTCTGACTGCAGCATATCGATCAGGGCCTTGGCCTCGCCCAACTCCTTCCTCATCCTGGTGTGCTCGGCCTTGGCCTCCTCAAACGATCTCTCCTTCTTAGTGAGTGTCTCGGTCGTGAGCTTGAGAGTCTCAGTGGTCGATTGGAGATTGAGTGCGGATGATTGTAACTGCTCGTTGCACTGGTCCAGTCTGTCGTTGCACGTCTTTAGCTCGTTCTCCAGGCTGTCCGCTCGGGTCTTGGCGTCTGCAGCTGCTGTTTTGTTCGCCTGGTACTTCTTGTTCAGATGCTCGAGCTCCTCGGTCTTCTCGTGGTATAGTGTTTTGATGCTGGTGTAGTCGTTCAACAGGGTCTCGAGCATCTGCTTGCTGCTGTCGACCTCCTCCTTGAGCGGCGCAATCTGAAGCTGGGAGTCTGTCTTTTGTTTGATCAGATGCTCGATCTCCTCGTCCTGCTCCTTGACTCGCTCGTCCAGAGCATGCATCTTATCGGCCATGTTGTCGTGTTCGATCTGCAACTGCTTCTTTGACTCGTTAAGATCGGCCATCATGGCTCGCAGTTGTGTGATCTGATCGCTGTTGCTGGTCAGTGACTTGGCGCGCTCTTGCTCCACCTGGCGCTCAGACTCAAGCACCGCACACCGGTTGTTGGCGATCTGGAGCTGGTCTTCCAGCTGGGAAGCCCGGCGACTGGCGGCCAGATCCTTGGTCTTGATGTTCTCCTCAAGCTTCTCGATGATCTGCTCCATCTTGACGTTCTTCTCCTTCAGGGTTTCAACTGCGTGGTCGTGCACCAATTGGTCCTCCTCGGACTTGGTCGCAGCGTTCAGTAGACGCCTGTTCAACTCGTCCACACTCCTCTCCATCTCTCTGAGCTGGTGTTCCTTCTCGTCCACCTGTTGCCTGTGCTCGGTCAGTCGCTGCGCCAGTGCATTGCAGCTCTCTTGTTGTGAGATCAGGTTGTAGGAGGCATCGTTGATCTCCTGGTTCATTGTGGTGATCTTGTCTTCGAGCGCCTGTTTGGCCGAGCGCATCAACTCACGCTCCTTTAGCAGGAGCTCGATCTGTCGTTCTCTGTCCTCGGTCGAGCGCATCTTGTCGGTCTGGAGCTCAGTCACCACTGTGCGGAATGAATCCAGTTCGTTGGACTGTCTGATGTTTGTCTCAAACATTGTGCGTATCTTGTCTAGCAGTGCACCATGCAATGATTGTCCCACGTTGTTGTTGTTGTTGTTGTTCTCGATGTTGAACAGATGAAGAGCCTCCATGTACATTCTCTCATATCCATCGACAGCTGGGGGCTGTGTTGGCATGTCGGCCATCTCAATATCATCAATGCTTCGATCGGGGAATGATCGCTCCAATGATGAGTCAGTCGGGCGTGGTTGCTCTGGCTCGTTGTCATTCTCTGGCTCAGGCTCCCGAGCCTCTGTCTCTGACTCTGGCTCTTGCTGTCTGACCACCTCCAGAACGTTGACTTGTTGCTTCAGCTCCTCGACCTGGCCGACCAGATGCTTGTTGTTGTCTTCGAGACGATGCACACACTCGTTCAGCTTCTCATTCTCTGCCTGCAATATGTTCTGATGATTGGTCGATGCAAGCTCGGCATTCTCCAGCTCCAGCTCTTTGATCCGGTCGATGAATCGCTGTCTCTCTGCGTCCACCACCTGTCGCTGCGACGATATCTCCTCCTCGGACTCGGGCATCTCATCCTTTTGCTTTTGTGTGAAGTAGTCTAGTGTGGTCGTGAGCTTCTCGATCACCAGGTTGCGCTGGTTGTCCAAGTCCTTCAGTGTTTTGTTCTCCTGCTCGAGATTGGCGATCTTGGCTTGCACCTCGTCGTCCAACTGCAGCTCGATGCTCTCGTTGCTGTCATTGTGGTCGTCAAAGCCTCGTGAGGACAGCGAGGCAGACATCATGGTGGTGGTCGTTGTGATGGTGGTCGTGGTCAGCTGCACCAACTTGAGCTCCAACGCCGAGTATATTGAGGCAAAGTCGCTGCCATTGATCTTTAGTCGATCGATCAGGTGCTCAACCAACGCACAACATTTGTTCAACTTGGTATTGGCCTCCATTGACGAGGACAACTGGCTGATGTTGTCCCTGAACTGATCCAGGATGTACTGGAAGTTGGTGTTGACCACCAACAGCTTCTCCACGTTCATGGCCAGCGTACCAGACAGCTGATCGACATCAATAGTCTGATCATCATCATTATGTGTGTTTGTGTTCTTGTTGGAGTCTGCGCCGGCATGTCCCCTGGACTTGGATATCTCTTCCAACAACTCCATGTCGATGATTGTATCTTGATTGATGTTGTCGTACTCGTGGTGCTTGGGCTGCTCCTCCTGCATCACCTCATCATGTTCCACAACAGGGAGATGGCCATGTCGTTGTTGTTCATCGGCAAAGTGTTTGAGGAACATTGTGCACAACTCGTTTAGCTTGTTGACGTGCTCCTCGTTCGAGTTGAGGATGTGCTCAAAGTCCTTCTTCAATGATTGGTACTCGCCAATCAGCTGATGGGACGTTCCATCATCGGGTGGTGTTGTCCAATCAAACGGCTGAGGAGGGAGTGTGTACTGCGATTGTGTGCTCATCAGTGCCACTTGCTTGATCGATGCTGGTGGCTGTGATCGTTGGCTGGCTTCGTCAATCGTGGAAGAGATATTGATAATGTCTGGACTGGACATTGGTTCGATTTGTGATCCTGGTTGTTGATCAGTATTGTTGTCGTTGTCGTTGTCGTTGTTGCCAGATGGGGCATCCACCTGTTGATGTTCTTGTGGAGCATGCAACTCCAAGGATGGTTCGATTGATTGTCTATTTACAGGTGACTCCTCCTTGTTATCGTTATTGTCATTGGTTGGAAGTTCCTCCTCATTGCCAGGACATGTATGTACATTGTTATTGTTGATGTTGTCGGTATTTCTTGATGTTAATGATGATTGCTCATTGCCAATCGATGACAATGAAGATGATGAAGAGGGTCTGATCGTTGAGGAGGTTGGAGGACTGCCAACCTTGTGAATTGTATGTTGTTGTCGTTGTTGATTGATCAACAATTCATAAGTATATTTTGGATGCTTGGTTATAAAGTCAAAGAGTATTACTATTCATATACATTATTGTTAGTTCGTTCGTTTGTTTGTTTCCCAGTTGTTGTATTCAACTCAACATACCATGAGACTCCTTTATCTTTACATATTGATTCAACAACTCTCCAACAATAAAGTTGAGTGACAACATTGAGTCTTTGTCTTTATCGTTGTCGTTGCTATCACCATGGTCTCGTTGTTGTTGTTTATATAGTTTGTTTGATTGAGACATATTAATTAATGATATTCAAACATATAAATGATCCAATACATGTACATTCAATAACTAACTCAATTCTTTCGTTGCTCATCAAACTTGTCATAAATGGATAAATACCTGGAAATGAACAAATTGGCGCCACCAATTTGAAATCAAACATCCCCTTCCGAACTTTGTTAATCATATTCGGGAGAAACGACTTTATTATTTATTTGTTTGATATTTGTAATAATACTTCATTCTTTTGTAAACAATTTTGCCAATTACTATTCCAATGTATAATATTATAGGAGCACCAACTAATAATCTATCACCAAGATTCTTAAACAATGATACTCTGGTACTAAGTAACGCAATATCGATCTCGATGATACGATCTTGGATGCAATGGATCCTGCTTGGAATCAAGAATCCTTGAAACCCATTGCTCTGACAATGGCGCGTAGACCAAGTGCTGTACCAAGGCCAGTAACAGCACTAACCAAAAATGGCTTTAATGCAATACCAATGCTGAAGAAAACCATTTGTTGTAAGTTTGTTTGTAAGTTTGTTGAGCGATAGATAGGAAGATAATATAGTATGTTATGTTTGATTGCAATGATGGTGGAAAGCATTAATGATTGATAGAAGTTAGTGAGTGAGTGAGTGAGGTGGAGTTGATGGATGGGGGCCATCGGTGGTCTTGRAATCAATGGACCTCACTAACTCACTCACTCATCACTCACTCTCACACTCAACCTCCAATGAATCTTTTATGATGAGTAGTATCAATGCTAAGTGGGTATGTACATGTATGCGCCGCTTTATTGATTTGGAAGTTTGAGTACTAGCTATGTGAATGTGAACCAACCAACATTGAATGAAAGAATTGAATGAATGAAAGGTGGATGTTTGTTTGACGACGGACCAATCAATCGCATTTGATCAATTTGCATTTGCGGGTCTAGTGGCTTGATGTGCAACACCTACACCTACACCAGCCGCACCTCCAGCGAGCACGGCGGAGGAGAGGGCGATAGTGCCAGTGGCACCAACACTCTGAAGAGTAGCTACAGCCGCTGTAGTACCAAGAGTTGACATGATACCGGCTGCGGTGGAGCCTGCTGCAATGCCCACCGATGTGAAACCGACTGCTGCCACTGCAACTGGAGCAAGGAAAAATGCGCCAAGTGTTACAGCTGTACCTACGCCAATACCATATAGGACGGACTTTGTATTTATTGGGTTTGACATAATAGAAGTTTCTTAATTGATTGATTGAATGATTGGGTAGAGAGAGTGAGATAGTGAGTGATTGATTGGTTTGCTGAGTAGATGGATGAATGATTGAGTGAGTGCTGCTGATGTTAATGATGGAGCATCTGGCTCATGCTAGAACTGATGTGATCAATTTTGCACCAATTTTCTATCACTTTTCCAGTTTGGGTGTGGGATTGTTGTGAGCGATCGGATTCTGAAGTGGGTTGCCGATTGGGACAAAGTTGAACTTCTTCAAGATATTATTGTTGGTGTAAAAATGCAACCAATCAACATCTACTCATCTCATTTCATTTATTAATAATAACAACAAATAATAATGTCACCTATTATTCCACCAATAACCAATCTAAGAATATATAATGATGGAAGGATACTCATAAAGAGGTAAGATGATTAATTGTTAATATTGATAGAATGAAAGAATGATTGAATGAGATAGATACTAATGATAATACACAGGTCAATCAATGTTGAAGAGGCAGTCTTACATTTACCAGGTGTTGACATTGGAACTTGTTTGACAGTGAATGATCCATGTTCATCAGATAATGAACCTTTGGAGATCATTGTTGTCAATGATCATTTAATCACAAACAAAGACAATAATAATAATAATACTTGCTTTATTGGTATCAAGAGTGGAAAGGAAAGAGTAGTATCTGTATCATATTCGATCAAGACCGAAAAGCCATACCAACTCAACTATCAAATCAACTCGGATGGATTGGATGCATTGTTTGTGTTGAGTCGCCAAAGTGATCACAGACAAGCTTTGAAGTCTACCGACCGTCATCACTATACACTCCAGTCATCGGTCATCTGGGAGAATGTCATTGGTCTCGGCTTTGAAGAAGTAGAGACAGAGTTCTGCTTCATATCCAATGATGGATCGATCCAACAAGTACTCTCGGCGGTCATCACTTGTGAGCCAAGCGCAATCATCAAACTTCAGGACAATAGGGAACTGCAACTTGGTGAGGCGCAGCCAGTGGAGGTGGTGCAGTCACTAGAGAACAATGTCAAATGTACCAAGTATGTTGGAGTCGTGATCAACACAAACAGGAGACTGGCACCTTTGGCCAAGGGTGTACTGTCATCAGATCAGAGCGTATTGTTTGATGTCATATCGAGTACGACAACAGAGTATGGATCATTCAGTAGTGTATTGATGAGCAATGTACCTTCACTATCAAACTACGACCTGATTGCCACTCCAAAGAGCAATGAACCAGTTGTCACTGGATTTCTCAAGTTGGATGCCTACCAGTACTCTGCCATCATTCAAAAGAGTAACAAGGTACACTACAAGCTAGTGGATATGACCTTGAACAAGGACAGCAGGAACAACAACAACAATGTCGATCGCATCATCATATTCAAAGATTGTAATCAGAATGGAGGTGATGGAGAACTGGTTCAAGACAAACCAGAAACCAAGCATCATATTAGAGGAAGACCCAAAGGAAGTGGCAAGGTTGGAGGTAAGGGAGTGTTGTCAATCATCAAGTTGGACCAAACGACACATATGATCAAGCTTGGTGGTCTACCCGTATTGGACTATTCATTCCAATTGATCAACTGTGTACAGACATCCACAGTTGACATACTCAACTTTGAGACATTCAGTGCATTCATCAAGTATGGTCGCATTGCATTTGAAACATCAATCAAATGGGATCAAATATCATACAAGGAGGAGGAAATATTCTCCAAGTTGAAGCGTGCCACTGTAAGTTAGTTGAAGGATGGATTGTCATCCATCACTCACTCATACTTAACATCCTCCCTTCCTCTTCATCCACCCTCCTTGTAGAAGACAGGACGTAAACTACCTATCATGGACTATGAATTCCAATCAAGATTGTACCAAGTGATCAAACAGAATAATGAGAGTGGTGGACTAAAGAAGATTGAAGGACCTAAAGTCAACTTTGGTTCAAGTTCCACATCGACACACAATGCAGCTTTCACCTTTGGATCAGCACCCAATCCCTTTACTTGGTTGGGACAAGGCTTGTCTAAGGTGGGAGTTTCCCAATCTGTTTTTACTGGATCGGTCTACAGAGACACAGAGGACAAGGGAAATAATGTCATCATCAAGAACATTTCTGCAATGGAGAATTTCAAAGATAGATCAATAGAAGAGATTAGATTGGAGACCATCCAAAAGAGTAAAGCGGCGGAGGAGGTGAAGGCAAAGGAGGCAACACAGGCTCCAACGACAACGACAGAAACAACAACTGCAACAACGGCAGCAGCATCAGCAACAACAACAATGCCGTCGACAGATGTGCCCGTAAGTTCAAATGACTCCTCTGTTGAAACAAAAACTAGTGAAGCATCTAGCTCCTCTTCCTCCTTCTCCATCTCCGCACCAGTCAAATCCTCACCTATTGATCTTCGACCAAGTTGGACAAAATCCGAGGAACAACCAAAGACATCATCTCTGTTTGACCGGCCATCATTATTTGCTACAGCAACCCCTTCATTGTTCTCCCAAACAACACTTAATGCATCGCCATCATCACCCAAATCAGCATTGGGTTCTATGTTCTCAAACGTTAATGACAAACCAAGTTCTTCTATATTTGGTCCAGCAAAGGAACCGCCAGTCTCGATATTCGCCAAATCAACTGAACCAACGGCCTCGATATTCGCCAAACCAAAAGAACCAACGGCCTCGATACTTGCCAAATCAATAGAACCAACGGCCTCGATATTTGCCAAACCAAAAGAACCTTCCATCGCATTTGGTTCTTTGTTCTCAAGCTCAAACGTCAATGACAAACCAAGTTCTTCAATATTTGATCCACCAAAGGAACCGCCAGTCTCGATATTTGGCAAATCATCTGAGCCAAATGTGGCGACAACCCAACCAAGTTCTGTGTTCTCAAGTCTTACAAAGTACTACGACCAACCAAGTCCATCAACAAACACCTCCGATCCATCAGTTCATCCTGATGGATCAGTCAACAAGTAGCACTCCAACACTCTGCTATCAATCAATCAATCAAATAAATAACAATCTTGCTTTCAATGAAATGATCAAGAAATGGATGGGGGACAAACTTTGTCATTCTACATTTGTTGCTTATTATTTGTTTGGAGAGATACAATATGTAACATTGTACTCTTCATCATATCTATATACATACTTGTATCCAGATGCAAACCATACTCAATAACTATCAGTTGCTCAGATATATTGTGTCCAAGCTGGACAGCAACATTGATCGTTTATGTCTCAGTTTTACATGCAAGCATCTTTATACAATCAGAGAGCGATATCTGCGTTTGGAACAGAGCTCGCCTTTCAAGGTGAATGCAGACCACTTGCTCGACTATAGTGCGCACACACTCAGATCATATGAATCATTGCTGACAAGTTCGGTGTCCAATGTCCGCTGCGTATGTGATGCCTCGATGATTGTTCTCGAGATTGCGCCTTCATACTGCACCACAATAGACTATAGTTATCACTTCAAGCTTACATGCGACATGTCAAAGATACCAAATAACATTCATACCTTGATCGTCAGGCATACCCAATGCAATAGACTAGGCGAGCTACCAACATCCATCACTCGACTCAAGCTGGACATGGACGGCTACTTCATGTTGAGATTAGCTGGGGAAGCATTGACCAACCTCAACTTGCGATATAATGTCCGTCTACCTCCACATTGCATTCCATCATCGGTGATCACTTTGAAGCTCACGTGTCCAGAAGTTCATTTGGGTGACATCCCTCACTCGGTCACTCGTCTCACGCTCTCGGTGGGCCGGCTGTCGGTTGGAGTGATCCCACCATCTGTCACACACTTGAGATGCACAGGATGCTTGGATGACCAACTCTCATCCGAGGGTGTCATTCCGGACTCGGTCACTACGCTCTATTTCCGAGAGTTGGTACTGACCAAGGGCTCATATCTTCCGACATCAATCACCTCACTGACCTTTGACAAGGTTCATGGTATTGGTCTTCTGCCACTCCCCTCATCGGTCACCGATCTAACATTTGGAGATAAGTTTAATCGTGTGATTCTCCAACCGATTCCAGCATCGGTGAGGACTCTTCGATTCGGAGAAGCATTCAATCAATCTCTGGAGGGCATGCTCCCATCATCGCTCATTCATCTTCAAATTGCTAATTCATTCTATTCTCAACAGTTGACGAGACAAACAATCCCAAGCTCAGTTATCTCATTGCACTTGGGCTTCAGAGTGTCGACACTTGTTCATGGATTCATTCCTGGCTCTGTTACTACGCTTTATCTAGACTCTCAATACCTCAGACTTGGACCCGGCCTCATACTACCATCAGTGACCTCTCTTACACTTTTTGGAGAGTCCATCGTGAATCGTCTTGTTGCAGGCATTATTCCGGCATCTGTAACATCACTGTCTTTTGAATGCTATGTAAAGTTCCATCATGACGCCACCTGCAGTGCCATTCCAGCAACGACCACCAGTCTCCGCTTAGGATCAAATTACTATTTGAAAGGACGTGAATTCGACTTCATCCCGCCAACAATCACATCACTGGATGTAGGCGATTGCTTTCATGATCACGTGGACCTCAGCCATATCCCAGAGTCTGTAATGGCCTCACATTATCATTGGGCTCATTCAACAAGCTGGACGATGACGATATCGACGTGCTCTCTCAACTTCAAAGTCTCAAAGTTGTTTCCAACTACTTTGATAAGGAGACATCATTCGATACTATCGTCTGGATCTTCAAAGCTACGGCCCTCACTTCAATCTCATTCGCAATTAAACCCGTTGCCTGGATCGATAACAATCGAATCTTCCACCATCTCGTGTTCCGAAAGCTTGACAAACATCATGCTCTCTTCCTTTCAGATTTCCGCTTCTCTGGGTTCCTGTCGCTTCGACTGGATACCTAAGATCGATGCGACGTCTGTGGATAGTTCCATTCAAATAAATTAGAAGACGAGTGTTGTTCTTCGTTTCAAAGTTCTTTGAACTTTTTGATCATATTCAGTCATTCATTCACTTGTTGGGCAAGACATACACAGATAGATAGATAGATAGAGAGATGGCTACTCAAACTGCAAGACGAACACTATCATTGATGGAACATTGCAGTGTCAACTTCCCTGTCAATGGTATCATCCCAATATACAAAGAGGCCGGTGTCACATCTGCAACACTACTCAATGTGTGTAACTACCTCGATCAATCAATCAATCAATCGATCAATGTGACAAGCAGCAGCAACTAATACACATAATCAAACACTCGACCATATAGTCATTGAAGAAGATATCAAAGCATAGGATCAAGATAGGACATGGAGGCACACTTGACTTGGATGCAAGAGGCATACTCATTGTAGGACTCGGCGAATCATGCAAGGACCTCACATACTTCTTGCATGCCGACAAGTCATACAATGCAACATGTTTGTTTGGGAGGGTAGGTCACGTCACATCACGATGACACTTGCATTGTCTATCGACCAACAATCGACTCACTCAATGGCATTGAGTCCCAAACAATCAGGAAACAGATACATTAGATATATCTGGCGATCTTTTGCCAGAGTTCAAACCATTCGATCACCTGACGCATGAGCTGATCGAGCGACAGATACAGGAGAAGTTCGTTGGCGACATTGTACAGACGCCACCCGTTTACTCAGCCATCAGAATGGGAGGCAGGCGAATGTCCGACTGGGCATTCAAAGGCGCAAGCATCGTGCCGATGGCCAGGAAGCTAAAGGTCCACGATGCTCACTGTACATTTTTTAAAGCACCAATAGCAGAGTATGGTATGTCATCGTCAAGCGTGATGGAGAGAGAGTGCGAGGGCACATCCTAACGAATGATTGAATGAATAACAAAATAGAGATGAATGTATGCACTGGATTCTATGTACGATCATACTTGACAGACATTGCACGATCACTGGATACATATTGTTACTCTATCGATATTGAACGAACAAAGGTCGGACCATTCTCACTGGAACACTGTCTGCGCATCAATGAAATCAACGATGATTCATTGTTTGAGACATCAATGAAGACAAGACGATTGCTAATAGACTATATTAATAGGAACAAAGACAAGTTGGAAGAGTTCCAAAGGCAACAATCTGAAAGGGCGCGTCGACAGCGTGAGAATCTACCCAATCATGTACTCAAGGCGTTGGTACTGGAGGGTGATTCGCCATGCTCAGACGAGCTGCCGCGTCTAAAGAGGAAATCACATGCATTCATAAAGCCAAGGTTTCGCGACAATGACAAAGAAAGGAAACAAGTAAACATACAACAAGAAGAAGTTGTGATCTAATTATTCATGTTGAATCATCATCATGCATGGATAGTTGAAGTCTTGCCATTATTGGAACAATTTATTCAATCGCCTTTGGATTAGGGACCTCTTATTACAATTCCTTGGAAATGGAATGTTTGATTATTGATTGATTGATTGTGTACATTATTATCCTAACCGTTCATCGGGAGATTACTCATGGAAGGTTGGGTGCATTATATTCTTTGATTTCTCCAGCAGCAGATGCTTCTCGGGAATCTCAAAGTGGCTATATTGAGGTTAGATTATTATATTATTATAATATTGAATTGTATATATACATACTTCTCTAGGTTCATATTCCTTAGATTCTTGGCAAACACTGTTATACCAAGTATACTAACAGCGGAGACATTGGCCATGATAATGTAGTTCTCTGGGGGAATGCTCTTTAATACTTTCATCCACTGTACCATTTTATACGTTTATCTTATTGTATATATTAATAATATTATTTGTATGTCTTTGTTATTACTTTGAATAATAATGTAGTTTCAAAGTTGTTTATTAAATAAAGGTAGGAAGGGACTCCAGTGGATTGCCAGAGTCTCATTCTTTCATTCAAACATCCATTCCCCCAACACCAAACAACCTTGACACAAACATAAACACAACTTTATTATTATTTATCTATAAGTGGTAATATAGATGTGAGAGTAGTGGAGCAAAGATATTTTTAGATAGGGTATACCCTATTTGGACATGTGTGAGGATAATGTAATGTTAATCCACCTTGGGCCTGTTGTTGTGGTTGTTGTCCAAGGATATGAGATTGAATGGAAAGTGGTGGTCCAAGTGTGGTTTCATACCCCCCGCGGCACACTTTACTCACTCATCTTGGGTCATGTGTTGTGGAATGTACAATTTGGTGTTTTGTGTAAACTCGTTGATGTATCCATCACGGTGTGTGGATTTATCCCTGGTAATGATAAAACAAGAATGATGATGATGATGTGTTCAATCTCATCATCTAGTTGGACCAACTCCAGTGATCAATTCTTTGAACCACAATGTCCTTGATCTAGAAGTAATCGGTCAGTCAGTGTTTGAGTAGTGTGTGTTCAACTTGCTGGTTGGGGTTGAAGCGTACCCATGGACAAGACGTCGGGGAAACAAACATGTCCAAGATTGTACATCGATTGCCTCGCATGTTGTTTATTTGTCAATCATTTCAAACAAATTGAATGAAGTACAAACAATGTGTTGCCAGTGACGTAATGGACTGAACTTTACGTCTCTTGATGTAGCGACAGGAATCCAGAGAAGCGGAAATCCGAAAGGAAGATTGCGTGGTGCTGGTCTAACTTTCGGAATACTACCTGTCGAAATATACTTTGGCTATCGATTTCGAATGTTATTGATGTAAGGTTGGCCGTAGAATTGAAGATCCAGACTATCTTATCAAATGCCTCCTCCAATTTAAATTGTTTGGTCACTTTGAGACTTTGAAGTTGAGAAAGCTTGTGGATAATGTCTTTGTCCATCATGCCAAACGAGTTGAATGGTAGAGTGAGCTCCACCACTGACTCGGGGATTACGTTCAAGTCAAAGCCAACAGGACAAGCGCCAACATCCAGTGATGTGATTGTTGGCGGAATGTAGTTCAATCGACTTCTTACAAAGTATTTTGATCCTATGCGGAGCTTGGTGGTTGTGGCTGGAATGGAGTTGTGATTGAAAACGGCAACGCAATCAAAAGTCAGTGATGTCACAGACGCCGGAATGATCCCCTCACCAATAGGTCTCTTGATAGCACCTCCCCTAAAGGTGAGACAGGTGACTGAGGGCGGTATGTGGCCAGGCTCAAGACTCAAATCGGTAGAGTAGAGGGTGAGTGTTGTCACCGAGTCAGGAATGTATCCATTAACCAGTGTCTTCTCTCTGAAGCCCAGGACCAACGAGCTAACTGAGCTTGGGATTGTTTGTCTGGTCAGCTGGTAAGAAAATCCAATGACGTCGATATGTAGGTGAGTTAGCGAGGATGGGAGTATGCCCTCCAGTGATTCGTCGACCTCCATTCCAAGGTGAAGAGACCTCACCGATGCTGGAATCGGGAGGATCAATAGATCAAATCCACGGCCAATATCTAGGTCGGTGACGGATGAGGGGATTGCCACACGACCGACATCAGCAATCGCGTCCACGGTCAGTGAGGTGATGGATGTCGGAAGATGTGCATCACTGGTCAGCGCCAGCCCTCGGAAATAGAGCTTGGTGACCGAGGCCGGAATGGCACCGTCGGAGAGATGGCCGACCAGGCGTTCTGTGAATTTTAAGTGTGTGACAGATGGTGGGATCATTCCAACCGACAGCCGGTCCACCGAGAGCGAGAGACGAGTGACCGAGTCAGGGATGTCACCCAATTGAAATTCTGGACACCTGAACTTCAAATTGGTCACCGATGATGGAATGCAAAGAGGAGGCAGGTGGCCATGAAGTCGCAAGTTGAGGTTGGTCAAATGCCTCACCAGCCAATCTCAACAGGTTGTAGCCGTGCATGTCCAGTTTGAGTCGGGTGATGGATGTCGGCAGTTCACCATACATATTGTTCTTGGTATGTCTGGCGAACAAGGTATGAATATGTCTAGGTATCTTGGTCACGTCGCGTGTATGTTCGTCCAAGTTAAAGTCTAGAGTGGTGCAGTAGGATGGCACCGTCTCTAGCGCCTCGATCGAGGCAACACTTATAAAGCAGTTGACATTGGACACTGATTGCGACAACAATGATTCATATGATTTGAGTGTATACGTACTATACTGTAACAACTCTTCGGCATCCACTGTGAATGGTGAGCTCTGTTCAAATCGCAGATATTGCTCTCTGTTGTTATATAGATGTTTACATGTTAGACTTATACATAATCGATCAATATTGCTATCCAGCTTGGACAACAAATATCTAAACAAATGATAGTTATTGAATATGATGTGCATCTTGAGCTTATTATCTGTTCGCCACAAGTCATCGCCCAACCGATTGTTGAAGATTCGCAAAGTGGTTGTGTGGTTGACATTCATTCGTTTTCCTTCAATTTATTAATTATTGCAATTTATTATACGTAGTAATATATATATATATATATAACATGGCCAATCGTAATCAACCTGAAGGTCCTACACTTCGCGACTATCTGAACAGACCGCGAATGACAATGGATGAATGGAAAAAGTCAATAACACAAGATAAGAAGGGTACCTTTGACAAATGGGAACAACTTTCAACAAAGGTAAGTAACGAGTTCAAGGAAGTACGAGTAGCGTCATGTACTGACCACCTTTTACCTGGTGTCACAGGAGTATAGAGAGAGTCTTGAGAAGAATAGAGAGCGTATCAAGAGGAAGAAGGAGAAAGAGAAGAAGAAACAAAAGAAGAAGAAATATAGTAGCGACAGTGAGAGTGACAGTAGTAGTGATGATGACTCATCTTCTTCAAGTGATGACAAACAGAGCAAGAGGAAGAAGAAGAGTCGCTCAACATCATCGTCATCATCCAAGGGTGGTCCTGTGCGACTGTCCGAGTACATGAAGGATAGCAGTAGTGAGGATGACCACAGTCCAGTTCGATCAAGAGACGACAGACCCAGTAGTAGTAGTGGCAGTGGCAGTGGCAGTGGCAGTGGCA